TCACCACATCTTTTCGCCCTATTGCACGAGGCTTGAGTATGCCCCCATTGACTGCAGTTGAAGCACTGCTTAACTTGTGCTCGGGGTGACCAGAGCTGGGCCGTGTACAGCATTGAATTGAGTACAATGCCGTTTCGTATCACCTCGCGTTGAAGAGCCTCTGTCGGCAGGCTAGCGATCACCGACCCTCGAGTATGGCCATTTTTCCTCATCCATTGGTGCTCCTTCCCGTCGTAAAGCCATCTTAATCTGTTAATTTGGATTCCAGGAATCCTGACATTTGTCTCCGTTTTTATTTGGTATATCATTCTGCCGTTGTCGGCATTTTTTCCTCCATGTATCATTGTCCCCAATGGGACTCCCAAAATTTCAACAGGATAATCCTGCTTCAAGACGCAGAACTCCTTTGGCTGAGCCATATTCAGGGCAGCGTCTCGCTGGGAGATCGACTGCACGAACACCTCAGTGTCGTTACTCCTTAACTGCCTTACGGCGTATGCCCCCTCGATATGTGTTTTTGCCTTGTTTAGCAGCTCTGCCGGCTGCATCTTGTCTGCTCCTTGTATTCTTATTCTTACTGCCGCTTTAGTCGCTGGAGGTGCGACGACTGAAGCGTAAGTGGGTCGACCTCCCATTCCTTGTGTCGACTGAGGAGCCATCTTGCGCACAGGCTCCTCGAGACTCTTCGTTACTGCCTTCTCTAAGGCCAGCATCCTTTCTTCCATTGGTGTCGCTTTCATTGTCGATTGTAGTGACAATGCGTGCGACTTGAGGGCGTCAATAGCCCCATCTACCTCCGCCATCGGTGTCGCTGTTGGGTTAGTACCAGCTATGACCAGTCTATCGCGAACCTTGTTTAGAAAAAGCCCTATTGATTTTAAACTATCCATGTTAATGCCTGTAGATGTCGCGAGAGAATCTACAGCCATAATTGCGGCTGTTCCGCTGTCCGTTGGGGGTTTTGGTGGTGCCGTGAAAATTTTTCCTGCAGTGAAAACCACATTTCTGGTTCCCCAATCCACCATGCCGAAGCGCAGTGCGAAAAAATCGGGGAATCGGATAATAAGGTTCGATTAAGATAGTAGCAATTAACGAAACGATGAAATAACGTTCGTGGAACGTTGTGCCGCTTTTGACCAAATGATGATGTTTTTTGAATATTATTATTATTATTATTATTATTATTATTATTATTATTATTATTATTATTATTATTATTATTATTATTATTATTATTATTATTATTATTATTATTATTATTATTGAATTTGATTTCATTTTATTTTCCTGTCTGAATCTATGACTATGTAGGACATGCAGGTCCTCTCTGCCTACAGGCCAAGGATACCTATACCAGTAGTATATCACCTCCTATGCCTCCCATACATCTCCCCTCAAACAGTACCACCCCTCACAAGTCCTCATTCGATCATACACTAAGAGGAGCCCTTTGCCCTTCATTATCTCCCCTCTCCAGCCAACAAAACGATGACCATTTGCGGGTGTATGGCAGCCGGGAAAAATCGCAAAAACCACTGGGTGCGGGGCTCTTCCAATACCGACATTAGGAATAAATCCGAAGACATATTGCCACTTCTGAAGCGTTCGAAGAGGCCGGCCAGCTGGGCGCTGCAGACTTGTGGGTACCTCAGAATTCACACACTGCATTTCTAGCCTCCTTCTAACTCCTTCCCGAAGGTCGTGCTGAAATGTCAGAAAAGTCTTGACAGAGCGTGATTGCTGTATAGTAGCTTAGCCTAGCTTCTTTTGTGCCGTCCAGAGCGCTGGGGACTGCCGTTGACTCATCGACAAAAGAAGCCCTTCTGGCTAATTAGCCGAAATCTAGGTCTTGGCGCCCACAAAAAATGCAAAGTTGAAAACTCCTCGAAAATGTCAGTCCCAGCATGGTCTTCAGAGACCTCTTTCTCCTCTCGCTCCACATCTCAGCCGCTTGTCCTTCCTCAAGATGTATAACCCCATTAGAGCAGCAGTCCCCCATAAACCAAGACCCCAACTTTGTATTTTTCGATTTGATTTCCTCCTTGCGGGTATACGTAGCGTCGTAGATTTGTAGAGAGTGATGGCCGGTAATGAATGAGGCAAGCTCCTGTTTGCAATTGGGGTGACGCCTTTATCGGTCGGCGAGGCGAGATGATATGTGTTTAGATCGGGGTTGAGGACTCAGAAGATAATGATGAGTGCTGCATGGTTGAGAAGTCGTCAAATGGAGATATACATGTGTTTGCTTTCGACTTCGATTCCGATGCGATTCTTCTTAGCTATCCCAGATATGCAGAGCATACTGAGCGTTTACACCGGCACCACTGGAAGGTGAAGAATTCGTCTTTGCCGGCTAAGTTGGAGTATACATTCGGCTACTTTAACCAAGAAATAACCTCACTCCATCGAGTGAGAACGGGCTTTTCTATGCTAGCATAGAACGACACAATACGACAAGAGACGTTAGATGTCTCTTCGAAGCTGGCGAGTGAAAACGTCAAACTCGAGGCATCTTCGGATCTTGTCGCCTTACAGATACCGAATGTACCTGTAAGTATAGTTACAGCGTGCAGCCCCAGGGCGGTCGATGCTAGGTGGGTCGCCGCCAAGATTCACAGTACGACCGGCGCGCTTCCAATCCAGGTCCGACCTCATTGGACGTGTCGATCTGGGGCACCGCACCGAAACTAGCATGTACTTTTCGACCGGGAAGTCGCCCCTCGTGCAGGCTTCCGCCTCTTCGACGAGTCTGGTAAGGCTACCATTCACAAGCCCCGTCGACCAATTTGACAGTGCAAACGCTGTTTGGGCTTCCACGCCACCCGTGGTTGCTCCAGCGCTCCAGCTTGCTGGAACTGCGGATCAAATATGCACTCGGAAGCCGAGTGCAAGGCCCTCACTAAGTGTCGCAACTGTGGGGGACCCCACCAATCGGATTCTCGGGACTGCAAAGTCAGACCTAGAAATTCTGGGCCGGTGACAAAAGAGCAGCTCGCATGGATACGCCACCTTGAGCAAGGGAAGTATGCGGAGGCGGCTCGAGCTAGGGCTGCAGCCAAAAAGGACGAAGAGGCGATCGTCGCTGCGGTGAAGGATGTCGCAATGGCCGAGGCAACAGGTTTCGGAGTGCTGGGACCTGAAGAAGAAGTTTGAGGACACAGCAACCTCGAAGATGTCCCCTTCTGGGGCATCTACTAACAATTAGCAGGATACCGGCTAAATAAAAGGTGCCTGCTTATCCATCTTTCGCTCTCAGCGGAGAAGGGGCAAATTTGCCAACTGGAATGTGTGAGGAACGCATGGCTTGGGTCAAATATGGAGGAATCTTCTACTTTTTCGGAGTTGTTTTCATTTTCTTGATTTTCTTGATTTTCTTGATTTTTCGTTTCTGTTTAATCAGCTGCACTTTTGGTAGCGATTCACGCGGTTGGAATGAGTTGGGCCTGTTTACAGTGATCCTCACCGGCTCCACCTGTCTTTGACCCAGTGTGGAAAGAATAGCATTCGCTTAGGACAAAAACAATAAAACAAAAGAAAACAGAGCTTTATAGCCCCATGCCGGTTAGCTCAACCATTGAAGGGCTACCCGACGCACCGGCATTCCCATAAAAAAAACCCGATAAAGACCCCACTGCTCCCGGTCCGCATGGTCGCTAGATCAGTGAGACTCTTCTTAAATTGATATAAATTATATAATTAAACGCGGAAATTAAAGTACATGTAGATGTTCGTAGTGAGACAGCCTTGGTGTCTAAGTAATCAGGGTTGTCCTACAAATGTAGGTGAACTCTAACATTACAAAGTAGAGGGATAAAGATGGATACGTGCATCTCACGTGATCCTGGTGTCTAGGCCTCATCTGGCTGGGGCTGCGGGTTATTGGAGACTTTTATCCGCGCACACAGTTTCCATTGGTACCATTTTTATTTTTTTAGGTAGAGGGTTCCGTCGAGAAGGTTTTCGATTTCACGGGTAAATACTGAGCCGAATGGCTAGTCATCACGGGCAATATATCAATGATCTTTCAAGAAACATGAGAGGCAAGGAGCACTGTACAAGGTGTGGCCAGGGTCAGAGAGGAGCCCAATGTGCTAGTTAGTCTATGACTCAAGTAGTACAATAAAAAAACACACAACACTGTAACCATTATAATTCCTAAATTATGATATTGTATATACATCATGACTCAATTGTCTGGGTGCGACAGGACATCTCAAAGGTGGCTTGTGATAGCCACAAGGGCAACATGGATCGTGGACTCCTGGCACTTTTCTTCTGCGTAAATACGAATTAAACTTGATGTGCTCGCTTCGAATTTGGATGGCTAGGCTACTTTCGCTCTTTAGGTTTTTGTGGAGGGAAAATGGGGATTCCTGGAAGCTTGTTCTACATTTTCCAGAATGTCGGTATTAATACAACTTAGCATTTCTCCTAGTTAAAGGATCTGCTGTAGCAAGTTTTTGAGGCTGTCGAGTTCGATTTAAGTAGTGCCAAGATTCCGCCCATTCTAGGTATGCTGTATCCTTTCCCGCTTATTTCTGTAAATCCTTGGGTCAATCCCCTTCGCAAATCTCTCTCCAGTAGGCAAGATCTGCACATCTATTCTGTGCTCGAAAATCTTCCACCTCTCTTTCGGGTGTTGTATTGTACAATACTATATTAGTAGTTTTGATTACGGTAATATTTACAAATAGATCAATGGGCGTAGTCATTGGCTTTGTTGATCAATCCTGCCTGATTATTTGACTTAACTGTCTTCCATCATCGTTTAAGCCAACTGTGGATATATTTTTTTCCGCTGACAAGTGTATTTAGTCTGCATTTAATGAGGTCTTTTCAGCAGATTATTCCTGGGAAAATTGGTGAACAAAGTATATTGGAAATGATCAAGCTATAAATAGTGAAAAGATGGAGACTCCTGTAACGCCCTTCACGCCCTTCACTTTTTACCATATCCCGTTGAATGTGCTCGGAACCTTTGCTGTTTTTGTCTACTTCTTTCATTTAGAATCCAGCGTCCTATCTTCCCTGAATTCGTCAATCCAGGAAAAGTCTGGTGTTGAGACTTCAAGACCACTAATTTCTGGAAGATTATGAGGCGATAGCCGGTCGCATGCCACTAATCTATTGAAATCGTTCTGGTAAGCTCCATAGAAGTTGCACCGCTGATCAAGCACAACAACACACTTATTGTTCATTGAATCATCTTTATTCATAGTGTCAGCAAAATCGTTGACTGGAAGGAAAAAAAATAAACTTACATCGCGAAACATTATCGCTTTCTCCAAGCTGAAGAGGAATCTTCCAAGCTGTAAGCCTTCCAACGCTGGTTCCTATTCTCGCTACTTCCAAACGACTGCGTCTAAGTTTTGCAATAGACAGCTGTGATTTTTCAAGGATTTTGCACGCTAATTGCATGTGGCTATTGATCGATTCGGGCGTAAACTTGTGTTTGCCACACTGGTAACCGCTTACACCATGGAATACCGTTTCTCCGATGGAGTTTTGTCCGGGAACCAAAGACTGGCGACGCACTGGTTCTATTTCCCAAAGTCCGTCACATTTTTCCCATTTATCTTCGGTCTTGTGGACCATGCCCAATGTTTTGTCCTGAGAATCTATTACGGTTAAATAGATATATTCGAGTGTATCTAGCTCACCGTCAGGCGGTCGTAAGCACAATTCGGAGATGTCATCAGCATACCTCTGATATGACTCGGGTGAGCGACGGGCATGCTAGGTAATAGGAATGAGGGCGTCTCAAATAATCTGTCGACGACTTCAAGTTTCTTGAGACCAATCTGATGACCCTGAGATTGCCAACCCCGCAGCTTAAGGATAGATATTTCACGAACTCTTTCTACGTCAATAAGATCAAATATTTGATTCTTGCAGTTATAGCCACGTAAAATTGGCAAATTCCTGGGTCCAGAGGTGGATGAATCATCAATTTGACGAGGGGGTTCCACGGGCTGAAAGCAGCGTTGATCTGGCGAATTATGGTATTTCATGATTACGCCGAGAAAGCTGCAGCTTGAGTCCACGATTATACGAAGGTTTCCAGGACGACCTATATACTCGTCAGACAGATTTTTGTCAATAACTGGGCCTTCCATCCAAAGGCTCCAGAAAACTCTGGTCTCTACCGCTATCAAATAATCTGCCGTCTAATCTGACAGGCCAGGAGAAAAGTCTTGCATCAGAGATAAAGAAGGTGGTTGAAGCATCGTACACTGCGGGAAATCTAAGCCTCTCCTTGGAACGATAAAGAATATCACAGGCTTTCTCGACTGAAATCTTGATATTCCTGTGGGATACGAAATCTTTGCCACAAAGATAATCAGATGTAGTAAAAGTTGCGCCTATCTTGAAGACTTGAAGCGTTGTGAAAGTCAAGTACAATGATAGAGATATCTTCATTTTGTCTTACGAAGTTGGGTAAATGGCGATCATACATCGGGTAGTCCTTGTTGAACTTAACAGAAAGATATAGATAACATTTGGTCTCAGTCTGGGCAAAGGATTCGATGAAAGATTGCTATCAGCTCCCGAGTAAATGGACTCGGAAACCTATTGGGCCTTTCCAATGTTGCCGATCTGGGGTGTAATTTCGAAGGATTGTGATGGAATTCAATCTAACTTTCGCTCAGTTTATCTAAAATGAAATGACTAATGTAGATTTTTTAAATTGCCTTTCTATACACTCTGTGATTCTTAACGATCTAGATACCTCCAGTATAAAGGCCAAAGAAATGTTTAGGATCAGAAGTATATGTTCTTCTAGACCTCCAATAACAAACCTCAAACAAGTCTCCTTTCTAACACATACCTAAAAACCCAATTTGTCGCTCCTAATTATTTCCCTCCAACTAGCGATACGTAATTCATTTTGAGTAGAATGTAGACGTGAAAACTGAGAAAATCTGTAGCGCAGGTCTCTCAAAAGATCGATGTCAGGACTAAATCCGGAGATATAGGTAACTTCGACGAGCGATCGGAGATCTTGGGTGACTGACAGAATCTTACTCAGTCCTCCCTGCCTTCTTTCCTTACGACGCATTACTCGGGCTGCAAGATAATTCACGAGCTGTGAATAACAAAATCAGGAAGCCATTTCCCATGAGGGCATGCTTTAAATTAGCCCAGGCTGACCTCTTTATGTCAACCGGCCTGCGAAGACGAATTATTCACCTTCCAGTGGTGGCTGTGTAATCGCTCAGTATGCTCTGCATATCCAGGATAGCCAAGAAGATCTGCAACCGAACCTAACTCTAAAGAAATCTCAGGCATATCTAGGAAAGGTGATTTCTCATCAATGTATGACCTTCTTTCTCAAACGAATCCTTCAACTTACTCATACCACAATAAAACTCGCCTCAACAACTGAATAAGAAGTCGCACCAATTACAATTGGGATTTTGGCTCATCAAAAATCTTTCGTCTCCTACTATAAATTTATCATGCCATGTATATCCGCGAGGATGAAAAATGTCACCATGTACATAACTCGAGTCTTGGTGTAGTGGGGACTGTTGTTTTAATGGGGCTTCACTTCTTGAGGAAGAACATGCAGCTGGAATGTAGGACAAGCGAGTGAGGGGGTCACATTCTTTGACTGTTTCGACTTTGGAGTACTTATGAGAGCCGAGGCTAAGATTTTGGATAGTGCTACCGCTACTTTTGTAACAGGCAACGATGGAAGGTATTGTGGTCCGCCTCCTGGTCGTCATCTCCCCGAATTAAAGTCTAGGTAGACTGGACACCTACCTCACTCGGGAGAGGGAGGATGATGAGGTCATATCTCGCACGTTGGCTAAGTACAAGTTGGCAAAGGAATTTCAATGTAGCCAAAGGTTTTTCCTGTTTTCCGTTTGGTGGATATTAACGACTGATGGAAGGTTGAAAGTATTGTAACTTGCTTGCTAGACCTTGCGGTGTAGCTTATAACAGTCTTTTTATTTTTTGCATCAAATTTTGATTGCGTACGCAGCTATCTAGCTATGACACAATATCAATGAAAAGTACAGAATAGATGATTCAACGTAAAGGAAGAGCACTCATGCCTCAGATTTCATTTGCTTGTACCACTGCGAAGTTATGGTAGCTTTTTCTTCACCCCAAGTCAACCCTCATCCGTGAATACCCACCCAGGGGAACGTCTCAAAAACTCTGGGTTATCCAGACATGCCTCCATCATCTTTCAACTTTCCTCCGCGCGAAATGTGGTCTGAGATGTATCCTTCCCAAGTGGAGTAGGTGCCCAGGCTACTCAGAATATACTGGAGAACACCACCAGGAGGCGGTCCACAACACCTTCCATCGTTGGCTTGTGTTCATAGTGTCAGTTGCACTCTCGCAAACGAATTCTTGGCGCGCACAAAGCCCAATTCGTAAAACTCCTTGCCAAAATTCGTAATCTCACGCCCTTCGAGATTATATCCTTCCTTCGCATCATCTTGTCAACTTGCCCTGATTCCTCTCACGTCCATCCCAAAGAACTGTCTCCCAGATTTGTGCGCCACGCTTTGCTTCCTCCGTCGGGTATAAATATCGGCGTGGGCGTATATTTGGTGGTCAACTGAGGCCAGAGAAGTTCGGAGAGATGTGTGGTCATTGGGATGGGGAAGTACTTGGTCGTACTTATAGACTTAATGAGACTTAGTTGGGAGTGAAACTCGTCGGGAGCGAAAAAACGACGTGGTGGAGTAATTTGAATAATTGCCTTGTGGGCCAACTTCATTGGTATTCCGAAATTTGACTGGGCTTGGCTCTAGGAGAATATTTCACTCCTAAGTTCGTAGAACGCACCGCATAAAGGTGTTCAGTGTTGCCCTCCGCTTGTCACAGTCAGAGTGTGTTCTAGAATGCAGTAGTGGCTCATTACAAGTGCGATTGCGACAATACAATTGAGGCATGCGTGTGTCCAGGCGACCTGGCACTTAGAAGTGGATCACAGCACAAACAGGTCCGGGGTGTATTAATTACGTAACGTCAGTCTAGCTTAGCGTATTGTAATCTACCGTAGTGCCACGATTTCAAGTTTTCAGTGGATTTATATGGGGCACATATTCGCTACAGGGGTTGCACCCATGTTAGCGCCGATTTCGACAAGGTACATAATATTTGTCCTGTATTTCCAGGCCAAAACCGAGGGCAAATTAAATTTCATGTCACCCTCAGTTTCATGCAAATCCCACCTGCTCTCTAGTTCTTTCCCATTGCTTTCATGTGCGCCGACCGCTAAATAGTTACACAGCTCTTCTCACCTTGTACTTAAGTTACAACAAGAATTAGATTTCTCAAATACAAAGTTATTTATTCAGAAGACACATGGCTTTACTCGATAATAACCATATTTTACAGATGAATCCACCTCAAACCCCACCTTCAACACCTCGAATCAAACAATTATCCAAAGATGAAAACATTTTAGTGAGTAGAAAAATTAGATATGAACAAATATAAATTAAAAGAAAAATTAAGATTTATGGGCTTCATGAATCTGGCAAAAACCAGACGCAGATTACCGCGCAACTAGGCATTTCTCGGGGACAAGTTAGCTATTCACTGCGCCGCGGAACTGTCTCCCCCAAAAAGAGAAAAAGAACATCATCAAGGCTGAAAGCAGATGATGTTGGTCAGATTATATTTTACGTTGAATCTTCACCTGGAAACCGCCGCAAATCATTTCTGGAACTCGCCTCTGGTCCCTTTGGACATTTTGGTGTTAGCGAGCGGGTAATACAAAGAGAACTGAAAAAAAAAAGATACCAGCAGCATGTGGCTAGTCTAAAGCCTCCAGTTTCTCAGAAAACTATGAAGACACGCAGAAAATGGGTCGAAGCTCATCTCCATTGGACATATGAAGACTGCACGTCAGTTTTATGGGCAGACGAAACTTGGGTAGAGGATGGAAGACATTCTAGAGAATGGGTGACAAGAAGTTTTCGTACATTCCCCTATAAGAAGATGGTGATTTGATGCTCTAACATTATGAGCTAGACTTCCCAAGAATACAACGCTGATTGTGTTGGAGAAAAATCGAAGACTAGGGTCGGATGGATGTTCTGGGGTTGCTTTGCAGGGCCAGAAAAAGGCCCTTGTTTGTTTTGGGAGAAGGAATGGGGTTCCATTAACTCCCAAAAATATTACGAGAAGATAGTTCCTCTTATCGATGGCATGGTCTCGATGAGACCCTGGCTTTCCGTAATGCAGGATAATGCTCCTGCCCACACAGCCGCAATTACAATGGAAGATATGAGCCAGAGGCTCATTCAACCGATTTTCTGGCCGGCCAACTCGCCTGATCTTAACCCGATTGAAGCTGTTTGGGATAAGATGAAGGATTACATCCAGCATCATCATCCGAATCTGGGTTGCGGAAAGCAGCGAATTCAAGATAGTCTTCGCAACATTGTAAAGGGGGCATGGAATGCCGTGTCTTCCGAAGATCATGTGAGACTCATTCAGAGTACGCCAGCAAGATGTCAGGCTGTGGTATATGCGGATGGGGGACCGACCAGATATTAAGGCCTGAAAATATTCCAGCCACAAGTTCAGATCTAAGGTTAGGATAAGACTGGCCCTATTCTGTATATTGAAAACCTTTGAACTCTTGTAAATGTGACAGAATTTAAAGTAGCAAAAATGCACAAATGTTATGCAGCCAATCATTATACCAATTAGGTTTAGTACGAAGGAAATGCTCACTACAAACTAAGGTGTCCAGATAAAAACTGCTTGACGAAATTTTTCAAAATTCTGCACAAATACGGGGGCTAACCCCAACATGGAGGGTTACTATGCCTAAGGCGTCTTAGTTTATACGCTAAAACCCCTGCCAAATCCCCACTGCAAACTTGACATCGTGGCACAACGGTAGTTTGCAAATATTCACTCACCTAAGACTGGTTACCGGGTTACAATGGTTGCCGCTTGTTACGAATTGAGTAACTGAGTTATGGAAGGTGTACCCGTTATGGTAATAAGCCATGAGGTGTATGGCAATTGTGACTCTGCTGTCAGTCGGTGGAGTGGCACGGGCTTGAGGATCCTAAAGCGCAGATTATCGGGAGCTGGAGACGAGGTACTAGCGTCGTCTTACTACTAGTTAGAGAAGATCAGATCGCCGCTTAGGGCGATGGCATAGGATGCATGTAGCCGGCAAAGACGAATTCTTCACCTTCCAGTGGTGCCGGTGTAAACGCTCAGTATGCTCTGCATATCTGGGATAGCTAAGAAGAATCGCATCCGAATCGAAGTCGAAAGCAAACACATGTATATCTCCATTTGACGACTTCTCAACCATGCAGCACTCATCATTATCTTCTGAGTCCTCAACCCCGATCTAAACACATATCATCTCGCCTCGCCGACCGATAAAGGCGTCACCCCAATTGCAAACAGGAGCTTGCCTCATT